GTTTTTATTAAAAACAAACTAATTATTATTAAAACAAAAAAAATAAATAAATAATATTTTTAATTTTGTTTTTATAAATAATTTTGATATTTTATGAATTATAATAAACTTATAAACTTTCAATGTTTGCCTATTATTTTTGTTAGGTATGTTATTTATAATATATAATTTTAAATATTTAGATAATAAACTTATTTTAATCAATTAATTGAATTTGAACTAAATTTCAATATATTTTATAAATAAACTTTAAATAAGTTTTAAAAAATAGTTTATTACTAAACTAAAGTATTATGTATTATGTTAGTATATGTTTAATTTAACTAATATTATTATTAAATATTATAGTGTAATATAAAATTTCTAACATTTATTTTTAATTTTATTAAAATTACATTTTTTGATATATATATTCAATGATATAGTGTTCATAAAAAATATCTAATAGTAAAGCTAGTAATAGTTTTTTTTAAAAATTTATTTTTAAAATAAATGGTATAAAATATACTATAATTTATTATTATTACTATTATTCATTGTTTTTATTTTGTAAATGTATATAAAGAGCCAGTCAAATGATCTTGAGCCGCGTATTTTTTGAATAACTTTTGAACGGCTAGAGATAATTTAATTCTGTAAAATACACTTAAGATTATCATATCGACCACACTTAATATACACAATCACAAAACTAGGATGACCAGATATACAAAATATCGGGACCAACTAAGGACACTATGCTACAGGCAAAACTACAACTGACAAATTTATTATGACAATGATAATTTGTAGTCAAGAAATAATAGTTTATTCTAAAAAAAGAATCATCAAAATCGGATTGGTAGTTTTACTTTTATGGTTTATTAAGTTTGTCATAAATCATATTATATAAAATAGTCAAAAATAAAAATGACGTTATTTATGAATATTCTATGCTTATTAGATAAACTTTTCAATTATATTACTAATTCTAAAAACGAAATTTTAATGTTGATTAGTTTTAGAAATAATCGGATTTCAATATAAATCACACTATTGTAATTTGATATTATAATTTATATTGAAATTCGATTATTTTGAAAACTAGTCAACATTTAAAAATTACGTTTTTAGAAATAGTAATTTAATTGAAAAGTTCATCTAATAAGTATATAATATTCATAAATAACGTCATTTTTATTTAAGACCATTTTATATAATATGATTTTTTGATAAACTTAACAAGCCATAAAAATAAAACTACCAATCCGATTTTGATGATTCTTTTTTTATATTAAATTATTATTTCCTGACTACAAATTATCATTTTCATAATAAATTTGTCAGTTGTAGTTTGGCCTGTAGCATAGTGTCTTTAGTTGGTCCCGATATTTTGTATATCTGGTCATCCTAGTTTTGTGATTGTGTGTATATTAAGTGTGGTTGATATGATATTCTTAAATGTATTTTACAGAATTAAATTATCTCTAGCCGTTCAAAAGTTATTCAAAAAATACGCGGCTCAAGATCAATTGACCTGCTCTTTAGATAATATTACTTAAAAAAATTATTGACTACTTATTAATTTTAAAATAATAAAATAAATTAATATGTTACTAAAAAATTAAATATAGACATACATTTTTTTTTAAAAAATATCTAACTTATATTTACAATTTATATAGTATATTAATATATTATCATATTAGAGTATTTAATTAATTTTTAAAAATTTATTTTAGCTATCTATTTTTGTTTGTTTACTTTATACGATAGTTACTTTCAAAATTGTCTTATATTAAAATTGACATTTATTTTTTATTAAAAAAAATAAATAAAAACACTATATTTGTTAAAAACACTATATATATATATATTATCAATAGATTTAATAATAATTTATATACAGTATATAACTAAAAATAATAAATATAAATGTCAACAACGTTAAAATAGTGCTACTGTTAACATGTTATCAATAAAAAAAATGTTATCATTATAAAAAAAACTAATAAGATTACTAGGACAAAATGTTACAGTTTTTTTTAAATAACAATATAAACTTTTGTTTTTTTTTGAATAGTACAGTATATAGTGTTTTTTTAATGTATTAAATTACTAATAATCAGGGTTTTAAAATAATGGCAGGCATAAACAATTACATGCCTATTAGTATGTAAATGCATGTCCAGTCTCTGCCATCTATATTGAGATAATGAAACCTATTATTATAATTTTATATTAGAAAATTAATTTATAGATAATTATTTTTATCACTATATTTGCTTGTTTGGTGGTATACTTTTAATTATGAGATATTAACCTTTTTTTAAATAAGTATAATAATTTTCAAATTTTATTAACACTTTAAAATAACAAAATTATTATAAATTTTTATAAATACAAATTGTTTTTTAACAATTTAAAATGGCAGGCAAATAAAATAGATGCCCAAAATCCTAGGCATTTATGGCTATCTATTTGGTCACTGCCAGGGCAGGCATTTATCAAATTAAAAACCCTGCTAATAATACTGTATACTAATTTATTATAACTAAAAATAGTTTTTTTATTACTATTATTATTAATTACTAGATAAAAAAAAGTAAACTGTCACATTTTTGATGGAAAAATATTTTATTGACACACACAATGTCATATTTTTATATATATTAAGTTTATTTAGATTAAAATTATCACTAAATAATACTTTTATTATTTTTTATTATCAACAAAATATAGTACATATTATAGTTTGTTTTTTTTAAAAAAATTGTTTTATTATTTTTATAAGTATATATAAAGTATATATTTAATTGCTCAATTTAGATTTTAGTATTATTATTTTTTTTTTTTAAAATATTTGTTATTTTATTTTGTGCAAATTTTTTTTAAAAAATAAATAATAATAATAAATAATGTATTGGATTATTGAATTGATTACTATATTTATTGCCACACTTGGTGCCTGTAAATATTTTATGACCATGTTAAGTTCAACAAAAAATAATACTAAAAAATCAACTAGTTCATCATCATCATCATCATCAGCTTTCAAATGTCCAGCATCGTCAATTACGAAATCTGCAAAAACAATTATCAATACACCTGAATTAAAATATACATGGGAGGATCTGGATAATAGATATTATTGTATGTATACCTGTTTGAATAATATATGATTTTAGTATTTAATAAATAATACTTTTACATATAGTTAGTAATTTTAAAATTTACATTTAATAAGTATTTTTTTAAGTATTTAAAAAATAAAAATACCAGCACTACATTATTAATTAATTTTAATGATAAAAAATTATATACAGTATATATATAGTATATATTATATATATACTATAATTAAAAATTAATATATTGTATAAACATTAATAATTTAATATAAATCTATAAATAATTATCAAAAAAAAAGAATAATAATTAAAAATAGTTTATATTTTATTATAATTTTAGAAATATTTATTAAATATTTAATTTTTTTTTAATTTTTTTGTGCTTAAATACCTGTCCACTACACACTACTCAACCCATCCCATCCCATCCCATCCCATCCCATCCCATCCCATCCCATCCCATCCCATCCCATCCCATCCCATCCCATCCCATCCCATCCCATCCCATCCCATCCCATCCCATCCCATCCCATCACTACATACCGGTACATACATACTGGTACATACATACTGGTACATACATACTGGTACATACATACTGGTACATACAGTTCCCAAAGATGAAACCCAGGAAAAATTTGACTACCGTTGGAAAACGTGCGAAATTTGGCAAAAATGTACCGTGGACCAAATGCGCCAATTGACCCAGGCCAATCTGGATACCCTGTACGCTATGATGCGACTACAGGGTCTCAAATATCGTATGCAAGGTATAGGATATATGGAAAAATTTTACGAACGATTTATACAAATGGCCCAGGATCGTTTACCGGAAATTTATAAATTGATTGACGGACAGGCACCGGGCAATGAAACTGTACGCAAAGTTAACACGTATTATTTGGGTGTATCTTTCGAAGAGTATCGATGGATGGGTCAGCAATTGGATGTCAGGCGTAAAAACGTGTTAACACCAGTTGGCGATACCACTGAGCAGGCGTTGATGGATGAGTTTAAGTCAATGCAAAAGGATATATTGACAGCTATTTTATGGGCCAATGAGTATATTATGAAAAAAGGAGATACATTTTGGGGCGGTTTGCACGTACATGTATGTATTTAAAATTAATTTTTTAAAAATATATAATTTTACTTTTAAAAATTACTACTATACTTTTTAAATAGTAGAATTATACTATGTTAAAAAATATATTTATTTATTTAAAAAAAATAAATAAATTTACTTATAATATAATTATACTATATTTAAAAAAAAAATAAATAAAATTACATGAAATTGTTGTTCACACTAATAATATGTATTAGAATTATATTATGTTAAGTTTTTTTATTTTTAATTATTATTATTAATTAATTAGTTAATTAATATATTATTATTTAATAGTTAGTGTTAAAGTTATTTTATATCTACTTTAATTAATTATCTCAAAAATAGTTAGTTATAAAGTTAATAATTTTTTTTAAATGTTATTAATTTATAGTTGTTATAAATAATTTTTATTTTATTTAATACATAAAAAAATAATTATCACTAAAATTAATAGTATTAGTATTAGTAGTAATAGTAAACAATTTCAAATTGTATTAATACTTTAATACCTAATATATTATTATTATTATCTTATATTTGTTTTTTGTTACTGATTACTAATATATTTATTTTGTTTTTTTATAAATTTTTTAATACTATATAGTTTCATGAATTAGTATCAAATATTTTCAAACAAATTAACGATGACCTAGATCAATTACCCAGCGATGAATTCAAAAAGCATACATTACAGATATTGATCGAGGAGGTGGGCGTCCTAACAATTTAATAAAAAAAATAATACACACATATTATTAATTAATAAATAAATCAAATTAATTAATTAATATATCTAAAATAAAGTAGTTATATATAAATATAATTATTTTTTAAAAAATAAGTGTTTTGATTTTATAATTTTTAAAAAAAATCAAATAAAAATAATACAATATTATTATTATTAAATAATTATTTATTTGTTCAAAAATAATAACAAATAATTTTTATTAATTATATTGATTACTATTTAGATAAAATTAAAAAATACATTTGTTATAGAAAAAAATTATTATAATAGAAAAAAAATTATAATATAAATAATTAAAGTTTACAAACAAACTATTTTTATATTTAATCAAAATATTAATAATAATAACTATTTATAAGTGTAACTAATTATTAATTAACAGTTTTTTTTAATAAATAAAACAATTTTATTTATAATCATCAACAAAAAATATTGCAAACAAATAAATAAATTATATATTAATTATTAAATTGTATGAATACTAGTGAATAGGTTAGTATTATCGATACAGTCGTCCATATAAGTGATGTATTGATTTTAAACAGTGAACAGGCATTCAATTCAATTGTATTCAATTGTATTGATTGTATTAACGTATTAACCATTGGATACAAATCAATAGGTAAACAGCAGTTATGTTGTTGTTGTTTACGGCTATATATTGTATCTGTAATACAGTTAATAGTTTTTCGTTGATTTTCTGTCAATTGAATTGAATTCATGGTTAACCACAGGTAAAGTCCAGTTAGAAATACCAGGTGCTGGGCATAGGCTAGAAATTCAAATAAATTATCTAGATACATTTATTTTTAAATGTAAAACAAAAATTAATAAATATTTTTTTTTGTGTAAAAATAACAATTTTTATACTTTACCATTGACTTTCATTTTCATTAATAAATTAATCATATGAAATGTATATTTACATAGATCAAATATTAATTGTCCATAAATACATAGTAGACTAGTCGATACATTATCTAATAATCTATTAGCACATTGTCTCAATAGATAATGTTGCCTGGCTATTTTTTGTAAATTGAATTCAATAGTAATTTTATTATTATTATTATTATTATTATTATTATTATTATAGTTATTAAAATCAAATTTTAATATTTTTGAATTTAATTCATCAAACATTTTAGCTATTATTTTTGAATTTAATCCACAATATAAGCATGCTAAATATAGGGGTATATGTTTAATTAAATAATAAAATGTATAATTTAGTATCATAAATAAAATATGTCGATCAAAATTATCTTGATTATTATTTGTTTTTGTTGTAATATTATTTTTATTAGATAATAATAATCTATTATTATATTTAAGATAAATAGTTTCGGTTGAAATATTTACAACAAATACAACAAACAATATTATTATTAGCCAAACAATTAATTCAATTTTTAATTTTCTAGCATGTACACTTTTTAGTAAAATTATATTATCATTATTAGTATATAATGGCATATTACATTTTATTTTAATTATTATGACAATTATTGTTATAAATTTTATTATTGATGTAAATAACGATAATGTTAGATTAATCATTTGTATATAGATACATTCAAAACAAATAAAATATATAATTAATAATAGCCAGGTTAATCTAATAGTGTATAGCCATATGGTATAGTAATAATAGTAATTATTATTAGACTTACTAATATTATTTTGACGAAAACCATAAAATTTCATAAATCTAATTAAAATTATTAAAATCAAACTAGGTGATGTATAGTTTTTCATTATTATTTATTATTTAATAATAATAATAAATATATTAAACTATATTAATCAATTTTTTTTAAATATTAATTCAAGTATTGACTATTTTATTAAAATAAATTAAGAAGTTTTAGTTTGAATCTAACAATATATTTATATATATTAATCTAATTTATTTAAATAACTAAATGTATTTTCTTCTAACATATTTTATTGATTTTAATTAAATTAAATTTTTCTATGCAAATATTTAATTAATATAAAATATTTATAAACATAAAATAAACATAATTTTATATTAAATGTCATTTTATATATAATATTTTATGAACTGTCATTTATTTATAGTACCCAGTACTTAAATTTATTAAAAAAAATTATTTAAATGACAAAAAAAGATAAACATAATAAAATAAATTAAAAACCTTATTTTTATTATTTATATAATAAACATTATAATAGATAAATATATATTTTTTCAAAAAATAAATATTAATTGTTTTAAAATAATTATACATTAGTTATAAACAATTTTCGTTTGCAAACATAAATATACATATTTTTTTAATAATTATTTTTTAAAAATATATCTTTTAATCATAATTTTTTAATTATTAAATTGTATGAATACTAGTGAATAGGTTAGTATTATCGATACAGTCGTCCATATAAGTGATGTATTGATTTTAAACAGTGAACAGGCATTCAATTCAATTGTATTCAATTGTATTGATTGTATTAACGTATTAACCATTGGATACAAATCAATAGGTAAACAACAGTTATGTTGTTGTTTACGGCTATATATTGTATCTGTAATACAGTTAATAGTTTTTCGTTGATTTTGTGTCAATTGAATTGAATTCATGGTTAACCATAGATAAAGACAAGTTAGAAATACCAGGTGCTGAGCATAGGCTAGAAATTCAAATAAATTATCTAGATACATTTATTTTTAAATGTAAAACAAAAATTAATAAATATTTTTTTTGTGTAAAAATAACAATTTTTATACTTTACCATTGACTTTCATTTTCATTAATAAATTAATCATATGAAATGTATATTTACATAGATCAAATATTAATTGTCCATAAATACATAGTAGACTAGTCGATACATTTTCCAATAATCTATTAGCACATTGTCTCAATTGATAATGTTGCCTGGCTATTTTTTGTAAATTTAATTCAATAGTAATTTTATTATTATTATTATTATTATTATAGTTATTAAAATCTAATTTTAATATTTTTGAATTTAATTCATCAAACATTTTAGCTATTATTTTTGAATTTAGTCCACAATATAAGCATGCTAAATATAGGGGCATATGTTTAGTTAGATAATAAAATATATAGTTTAGCATCATAAATATGATACGTTGACCAAAATTATCTAGCTTAGTTTTTGCTGTTATAATTAATGTTGTATTTTTATTAATTTTAGATAATAATTTATTATGTTTAACTACTATATAGATAATTTCAGTTGATAAATTTATTAAAAATACAATTACCAATATGAGTAGGCAAACAATTGATTCAAATTTTAATTTTTTAGCATGCACACTTTCTATTAATATTATACTGTTATTATTATTATTATTATTATTATCAGCATCATATATAGATAAATCACATTTAATTTTACATATGATTACAATTACGGTCAGAAATTTTAATATACATGTAGCTAACGATATAGTTATGTTTATTAATTGTGCATGAACAATTGTAAAATAACTAAAATATATAATTAACAATAGCAATGTTAATCTAATACAGTATACCCATAGTGTATAGTAATTGATTTTATTATTATTATTATTATTACTACTAGATTTGTTAATATTTTGCCGGAAACCATATAACTGCATAAATTTAATTAGAAATTTTAAAATCAAACTAGGTGATGTATTGGTTTTATACATTATGTATTTTAATTTAACTAGTTTATATATATATATATTTTTTAAAAATACAATTAATTTTAGTTAATAAATTTTTATATTTTAGCTACTTTGAGTATTTTACTAAAAATAATAATAATGTAATATATTTATATATTAAGTGATATAATTAAAAACAAAATAAATCAATATTTTCACTATTTTTTTAATTATAATATCATTTATATAATATATTTAATTGTTTTTTTTTCATAGTAAAGTAAATATGATATATATAATTATTATTGAAAAAAATATATATTTTGCATTTTTGTGAATTTATTATTTATATTTATTTATTTATTTCCTGCTCAAATAAATATATACGAAAATATAAATAAATAATTTATATATAGTTTAGATATTTTCTAAAACATTTAATATTTATTTATATTTATTAATAGTAAACAAAATATATTATTATATATCAACTCAATAGTACTTAATATTATTTATTTTTTTATTGATTTAATGTTATTTGTAATACTAGTAAATAAATATTTTTATATTTATGTAAAGTTTTTTTCTCAACTAAATAAATAATTAATAAATAATACTAAGATTTTTTATTTTTTAATACATTAATATTTTTTAATACATTAATATTTTTTAATACATTAATATTTTTCAAAGTATTAATATTTTTTTAAAAAATATTTACAATATCAAATACTTAATATTATTAAAAATAAATAAAAATTTACTGTTACAAAGATAAACATTATCAAATTAATTAATAAGTTATTATTTTCTTATTATCTATTTTTAATATTTAATAAATAATTAATATTTTTTTTGTTGTTGAAAAAACATGTACTGTGAATAAACTTTATAATTGATAAATATTTTAAAATATATATATTAATAGATATTAATTTTTTTTTTATAATTTATTACACAATAATAATATTACAGTACTTTAGTTATAATTAAAAAAAAACTTAAAAATACTTTTTGTATTTACTAGTTATTAATTATATATTTTTAACACTTTTTATTTGTAAGTTTAAAATTTAAAAAAATAATTATAATATAAAATGCTGTATCATATTAAAAATAATAATTAATTTTATTGTATAATAATTAAATAAGTTGTTATAATTATAACAATTATAAAATAATTAAATGTTGAGAAATTAAATAATAATAATAATAATAACTTATAAATGTCAAAGAGATAATCATTATCATATTAATTAAAATTAGTTATCTTAATTTTTTTTGTATTAAGTAGATAAATAATATCAAATTATTTTAATAATAATAATTTTAATTGACAGTTACTTACATTTTAGCTATTGATAAATAAATTATATTTTTTAGGTATCATAATAATAGACATA